AGCGTCCTTGGGTGGCATGAATCTGACAATCCAATTTCTTGTTCTTTTTTTGTTTTTAGTAATTTTTATTAAATTATAATTTTATTTAAACTATTTAAACCCTTTTTCTGAAATTATTATAAATATAATTGTTTTTTATTAAATTTACTATTTTCTTATGATAACCACAATAATCAACTTAAATACTATTCTTTATCTTATAACAAATTTTTGAATTAAAATTTGTACAATAATTCTTTCTTAATCAATTTTCATTTCTTAAAAACTTTATGTATTTGAAATTGTATATGAAATAAATTGTATAATAATTACTTAGTTTCAATCAAAAATCATTCTCATAAACAGATGATGTATTTTCTTGTTCAGAAACATTTTTCGAACTAATAGGGGTAACTTGGCATGTTCTAGTTTGTATATTTGGTGAAGAAGATTTATTTGCAGCTTTTACACGAGAAAGTATTCCACTCAACCTTACATTTGTTTTACCTCCCATAGCACTCATAATCATTCCACTATTTTCTCTACTTTCACGTTTAAACTTTACAGAAACGTCTCTTCGTGTGATATGATCACCAAGTCGTTTTTGGATTTTTTCAAAATCTGTTCCAAAGATTTTTAAAGCTTGATAGAATTGATAAGTTTCCTCAGTAGACCAAACGTGATTTTTCTTTCGTTCTACGTTATCAGTTTTACGGTGTTGTTGGATAACTTCAGTTACCCCTTTTGGTTTTTTTTCATTATCTTCAAAATGTCCAACACAATATTCATCTTCGAATTTAAGTTGAACAGGACGAGACATTAATGTGTTTTTTTAAGATTTTCAAATAAACCTTTTTTTCTTATTAAGAATAAAATATTTTATTATACTTTATAGTTTTATTTTAAAAAAGAAGAAGATGTTATTTTGTTTATAAAGTTAGTTTTTCAATTAAAGAAGAACATAAAGAATTAAGTGATGTATATTTAAGAATTGATGCATCTTCTTCTTCTTGATTTGAAGTTGCACAAATAATTGGGATTGTAGGATATAATGATTTAATTGTATCTCTATTTAATTTAATTAATTGATCATCAATAAGAATAATATAATTAGGAATTATTTCTCTTTTAACTCCTTCCCAAAAATCAATACAATTAAAAGAAGAAATGTCACTATTTAATTTTTCATTTAAATGTTCCAAATTTGACAAGATGAAAATAAATTGATTTTTTTGACTACAATCTTCTTCTTTCTTTTCGTTTTGTTTTGTTAAATTAATATCTTTTTCTTCTTCAACTTTTTTATCAGTTTTAATTGACTCCTTAATTAATTGAGATGAGTTTATTTGTTTTTTTAAATTTTCTTGAATATCATCAAATTCATATTCTAAACTTGAAATATGTTGTTGAATTTCTGATAATTGATGACTTAAATCTTCATAATTTTTATTTTGTTGTTCAATTTTATTATTATCTATTACTTGAGTTTCATGTAACTTATCTTCTTGAAAAGAAGATAATTCTTGTGGTTGGTTTTGACTGATTTGATTAATAGAATTTGTAAGATCTTTAATTGTAGTATTAATAACATCTAATTTTTCATTAAAATATGATTCATCACATTTTAATAACATTTTTTGTTCTAATTCATTTATTTTATTATTTTGTTTTATTTGAACTTCTTCAATGTTTGTTTTATCTTTAATTTGATTTTCTTTTAATTCTACTAAACTAGAAGTATTTTGAATAACACTATTATTTAGTTTATTTATTTGTATTTTTAGTTCATTCAATAAATAATCTAAATCATTATTTTCATTTATTCCTTGTTCTTTTTGTTGTAATAAGTCATCACTTTTTTCTAAAGAAGAAGAAAGAATAGAAACATTATTTGTTGTTTGTTGTGTAATATCATTTTCCTCTTTTTTTTCTTCTTCATTAATTTTTTCAGTGTTATATATCGCAAATTTTGTTGATGGTTTTGAACTTATTAAATTTTCATTTCTTAAACGAATTTCTTCTTGTCTTCCATCAAGAAACTGAAAAGTAATAATTGTAGAATCTCCTAAATACATAATTTTTGAAACCTTGGTAATGCTTTGTGGTGTAACTTTTCCAAATAATCTTAATATACCAGAATATGTATTTGTTTCATGTTTTAAAGTTACTTTAAATGAATTTAAATATCCTTTTGTATTTTCAGCCATAACATCTATAACATCATTATTATATTTCAATGTTACTGTAATTTCGGTCATTAATAATTTTTTAGTTCTTTAAAATAGTTTTATTTTATTAAAAAAAATTATAAAAAATTCTTTCAAAAACTCATTTATTTTGTTTTTTTGTTTTAAATAATGATGTTTTAATAAGTCTTTTATACAAATTAAATTTTATTTGATAAAACAATACATTAGAGACTGTATTATGATAATACTTTTAGTATTATCAAATCTTTTTAATAAACCAAGAAGAAAGAATTTAAAGGTGTTTATTTATCTATGTTAAATGATTCATAAAATTATTTATTTTTAATTTATTTGAGTAAAGAAATAATAGAATGAACAATTTATTAATATCTAGAAAAATAATGGCAGTTATTATTGTTGTAGAAATTTTCTTTTCATTTCTTGAAATATTTATTTATTTGTGGTATTTTCCTTGTGACTGGTGTTCAACAAGCATTTGCATTTTTCTTTCTTGGCGTTTCATTAATATTATTAAAAATTACAATCATTGGATTATTAAATCTCTTCACATTTGTTTATTATTTGTATTAAAGAGAATAGATTTGAAATGTAATGAATAATATTATTAATTATTTTAGCAACTTTATTCTTGTTGTACTTGCATTTTTTAGAAGAATTCCATATGTAGTAGAACTTTTGAATATGGAACATATTAAACAATTTATTGGCAGAACTTCATGGGAATGTTGTTTACCAGAATAAATGACTTTATTAAATTCATATTAAAATTGATTTGTATTTCTTAGTTTTAATAGAAGATGCATGGAATATGAATTTAAATTAAATAGACAAAAATAAGTATTAATAGAATTATTATATATCACTCTTACATTTGGAGTCAAACAATATCCTAATATGATATACATCATATTTTTAATTATAATGTATTTTAAAAAGAAATTGATGATGTTTAATTTAAGTTTTATTTTTATAATAATTTAATATTTTCAGTATTTATAACTCAATGACTGAAGTT